TGTATGCACATTTATATATGTATATATGTATGCACATTTAAATATATATATATGTATGCACATTTATATATATATATATATGTATGCACATTTATATATATATGTATTATACGAATGAGAGATCATATGAGAATCAGTGATAGATCGAATTCTCATTCACACACAACAAGAGAAAAATGAGATTTTACACAAAAAAAATGTCTTTTTTAGAAGACTACATACCATATTTACTGTTTTTATGAAATAGATGAAATTTTCTTAGTGTCTCTTCAATCTGTGACCCTTTGTCACGCCCCTCTCTTTCTCTACTATGTAGTAGAGAGAGAGAGAAGTGGAAATAAAATTTAAGGTAGAACGGACGAGTCCGTTGTCCTTCGGACAATAGTCCGATATTTTATTTCTGTTCTCTCTACTAGAGAGGGTCATGTGAGATGAGACACGAGTCCGTAGGACCATATGTTTCAATTTTTTTATTTTTTTATTTGTTGACTCGTCACATTCTCTGCTGGCATGAAATTGTGTATAAATATTTCCGTCTTTAAAGTTTCCTAGACAAACTAAGGCCTATATACACAAAACGAGATTGTAGGTGCATTCATAATCTAGAAGAATGTTACGACACATATTTGCACCCGCGTTCAGGCAAGGATTTATATCTGTCAATAATTACCTGCCTAGATCAACTGTCAACCGATATCTTTCAACTGATCCACAAATACCTAAGACCGCAGTGCTGATGATGAACTTGGGTGGTCCGGCTACGCAAGATGAAGTCCATGACTTTCTTCTCAGACTTTTCTCTGACGGAGATTTGATTCCTTTAGGTACCGGCGTGCGTCAGTAAGGCTGGTATATATATTTCTAAATTAAGCACTAAACAGAGCTCATCCCTTTTTGGAATGTGTTGTATGTAAGTGTATCTAATCATTGAAAGAACCTCGAATATCATTGTTAATTTTTGTCCGTTCTCGACTGATTGTAGCGAGTTTCGCTGCTTAAATCCTTTGCGAGATTTGCTACTATTGGAAATTCACCGTCCATGCCTTGCGATATAATTTTTAGGATTATATCCAGTGGTGTGTCGCAATCGATATATGGTCGTGGTCGCAAGTCTTAGGCCATTGCAGCAGTTGATATATGACAAGGGGGCTTCAAAATAGTATTCGTTCAATGTGCTCATTTTTAGTATAGATTGTAAATATATAAATTTACGCTCGGATGTGTTGGTAACCATGCAATGCAAGCTACGTCAAATGCACTGATGACCTAAGTGAGATATAATTTTTTTTGCGAGTCCACTATTTGTCTACGCGTATGCACCTACACGCACACACACACACACACACAGTATACATACATATATATATATATATATATATATATATATATATATATATATATATATATATATATAT